TAGTTGTCATAAGGTCAGTGTGGTTGTACCGCGCTAAACCTTAAACAACTATCTTCAACTTCATAAAATAAAATATGGCTTTTTTCTCCAATCTAAGGAATAATCATTTATGCTTCTTCGACAGTACAACTAGGTCAGTGTGGTTGTTCCGCGCTAAACCTAACATCAATCTTTTACACAGAATTAAATGCTGCGAAAATCTAAATGTTCAAATCTTCATTTAATTTAGGTTAATATGGCTGTTCCGCGCTATACCTTCAATTGCTTTCTTTAACTCCGTAAAATGAAACAACTGAAACAACGTTTATCTTTAATCTAAAGTCATCATAAAGGTTTTTGGAGAGAGCAACTAGGTCAGTGTGGGTGTTCCGCGCTAAACCTATCAATCCTTTACGTAAAATTAAATGCTGAGAAAATCCATGAAATTTTAGAATAACTGGTCAGTGTGGTTGTGCCGCGCTATACCTATAGTTGGAATAAATGTACATGTTTATCGTTAGCTTTAATACCCAGTAGCTTCACACATATATATATATAACAGATAGATAATGGCTATGCATAATTAGATCGCTTAGGACATATAAGCTTATATGCATGATTTTGTTGATTTTATATCGCCTAGTAGTGCTCATAGACAGATGTAGTAACTCCAGCATGTAGCAGGCAGGAAGCTGAAAACTCGTTATTTTTTACCTTTAAGTAACATTGTTTAGTAAATGTAAAGATTTTTTACTATAATGCATGCCCTGTAAATAATATTCAAAACTTTTTTATTTTTAAAAATTTTATTAATAACTTTTAAACTGTGACCCATTTTAATGTACATAGAAGTTATTATTAGTATCTTTGTCTAGGTTAGTCTATGGAAAGGTATATACTATGAAATTTAGAGCGAGGGGCTTGCCCCGAGCTCTTAATTTCATAGTATATATCTTTCCATAGACTATCCAATTTAGCACATATTTACAACTCGAGTAATCTTTTAATTGGTCTATTGATAGTTTATTTTGGCTGACTACTTGTATCACAGGTGTTTGTAAAAAGGAGCTCATTAACGAAGTTTTGTAAATCTACTCACTAGTATTATTGTAAAATATGTGATTTCAAAAGGCCCTTCACTCCAGAATGAAAAGATGGTAGCTGCTGGTGTAAGTATGTATACTGATATAAAGCGGTGTTTTACTATACATGTTTTTCTTACATGGTAAGATAACAAAATAAATTGACCAAAAGCAGGCAATAATTAAATTGCAGTGGAAGCTTTACATGTTTTGAAAACATTTTTTTAATTTCACAGTAAAACTAAAGCTATAATAAATTTGAAACATAGAGATAGTTTGTCCCCATAGATATAGTCTAGCAGAAAAGCAACTACCAATAGATCAGAGATTATAGGTTTTGTGTTTTGTGTTGTTTTTTTTATTTTTTTATTATTTCAAAGTAAAAACTAAAAGATTTATCAGAATATGTTTATATATATATATATATATATAGGTGGCACATTATCTTCAGACATAATCACAGTTTTTCAATTCATGACATCGTCCTGAACATGCAGGAAATATTTGCCACTGGACATTAAGCAACCAATAATCAATAAATCAATCAATTCATGACGAAATAGATCACTTTCCTTAAGAAAGTTTAAAAAATTATTACCAAGTTGCTTTAATTTTCCTTCACAAGTTTTCATAGTACACACTTTTCTGTGTACAAAGTAATTGCATGGATGATACATTATCATAATTTTAAGATATCGTTGTACTCTAATCAAGGTATAAAGAACCATATGTATTACCCTTTATTTTAATGATAAAATTTGCATTTGTCAAAAACATTTTTTAGATCCAAAGATTTTAATAGCAGGATATTTAAAAATCAATGTGAAAACTAATTACAAACTATTTAATTTAATGTCTTTAATTTGGGACACAGCATTTTATTTCAAAATAGCCAGTGGCAATTTTTGTTTTAAATATCTTGATTACGATACAATGAAATCTTACCCTTGTGGTCATTCATGCGTAGTTACTTAGTACACAGGAAAAGTATGTACTATGAAAATTAGAAGGCAAATATAAGCAATTTGATTGGACGAGAAGTTGTAAGTATGTGCTAAGCAGGGATTTAACTGTACATAATGTTATTTTTAAATAGTTAGGTATTCACTTAATAATTTTTATAAGGATTAACCAACCTGAATTCAGTAAGGTTGGTGTACTCCAACTATTGGAGGAAGATATAGAGGAAAGAAGAAGACCTATTAATGCTCCAAAACAAGCCATCAACTTTTAATTAATTTGTTTTTCATGTGTGTCATGAATTTCGAGAATTTATACCATATAAATATCTGAATAAGTTTATTTAACTTTAATACCCATTATATTATTATTTTTTAATAATTGCAAGAACGTATAAAGTTTCGTATAAATAACTAGGTGTTATTCCCCGACTGAAAATAACCATTGAGGGAAATCCCTTTTTATTCATATAATTGGTGAAAAAGTATCATGTTTTTTGCATTTGATTGTAAAAATTAGTTTATTAGCTTTCAATTTAAACAGGTTGAATGATCAAAATAATTTTAATAAAATGCTCCGCTGTGCGCAGCTTGATACGACCGCAGAGGTCGAACCCTGAACAGTTGGGGCAAGTATGGACACAACATTCAAGCTTGATACAGCACTGAATTTCGATTGTGATTAAATATTTGACACAGCATAGGTTTCTGACACATATCAAACCATATCATTATTATTTGCTTTTATATATAAATCAGATAAAACACAAGTTATTGTTATGAAACTAGAAAAATGCTTGTTTTTTGCCCCCCCCCCCAATTCCTAAAATTTTGAGGCAATTACCCCCAAAATCAATCCCAGCATTCCTTTTGTGATATTGAACCTTGTGGTACAATGTCAGAGAGATCCATACACTAACACACAAGTTATGTCTGGAAGTTACAAAAATGCTTATTTTTGGCCCTTAATTCCTTTACTGTTGGTACCATAACCCCCAAAAACAATCCCAACCTGCCTTTTGTGGTATTGAACCTTGTGGTAAAATTTCATAGAGATCCATTCACTTAAACTAAAGTTAGAGTGCGAAAACCAATGTGTCTTCGGACGACGCCAGACGACGACGACGACGACGCCAACGTCATACCAATATACGACCATAAAAATTTTTTTGCGGTCGTATAAAAATATAGTGTCAAATCTTTCATATGGATTTTTTTGTAAAAAAAAAAGATGCAACATTTGCAGATATTTTTACTGGTCTTCCTTTATAAATATGCATTTCTTTAAACATAATTTAAAAGCAGTGTAAGGGAAGTAACCAAAACGTTGTATTTGGATTACCTCCCTTACACTGTATTAAATTATCTTAATTGTTCATTAACCATTACTTTATACATAATTTAAAAGCAGTGTAAGGGAGATAATTTCAATGATGTATTTGATTTATCTCCCTTATACTGCTTTAAATTATGTTTTGTACTAAAGTATTTGTCCATTAACCAGGACAACCTTGTTTTTCCCCTAATTCCTAAATGGTTTGAGCCATAACCCCCCAAAGCAAATCCTAACTATCCCTTTGTGGTATGGAAACTTGTAGTATAATTTCAGAGAGATCCATACACCGTTCTACAGTTAATGTCTGGAAACTAGAAAATGTTCATTTTTGGCCCCTTTGTGGCCCCTAATTCCTTAACTGTTGGAACCATAACCCCCTGGGCCAAAATCAATCCCCACCTTCCTTTTGTGGTATTGAACCTTATGGTAAAATTTGAAAGAGATCCATTCACTTAAACTAAAGTAAGAGTGCGAAAACCAATGTGTCTTCGGACGACGCCAACGTCATACCAATATACGACCGCAAAAGTTTTTAGCGGTCGTATAAAAATGTCATAGAGATCCATTCACTAAAACTAAATTTAGAGTGCGAAAACCAGTGTGTTTTCGGACGACGACATACCAATATACGACCGCAAAATTTTTTTGACTTAATAGTAGTCAAGTGAAGATTACACTTTTGGTCCTCTGGTTTATTTTTATAATTTTATAAAGTTTGGTATTTCATATGATAGATCCAAAATTTATAAGTGAGAAAACAAGATTTATAATTGTTACTGTTATGGTTGCAGGTTTTGAAATCAACTGTTACACTCAAATTTTGGCACAACTGTACAAGTTTCATTATATTTCCTAGAGGCAAACTCAAGTTGGAGTGTGGAAATGAAATTTGCAATAAAAGTGGTACTTTGCTACAGTGCAGAAACAATGTGAAAGACAGTCAAGGGCAACACAAATCTTGTACCAGACTGAACCTCAACATTGACCCTGCACATAAGGGAATGTAGGAGAGCTACAATTTATGTCTTGTTTCTCAACAAATTGACAACAATCTGATGGACAGCAACATTGCAATAATTCAAAGTCGCTTGACCACAACCTTCAGACAGGGCCATGACAAAATAGTCATTAAACTGATTTTGTACTGATAGTAATGCCACTTTATAGAAAATATCATTAATCTATCACAAGTAGCTCCCATCAAACTGACTTAAGCAATAAACTTCACAATTATTGACGCATCCTCCGCCACTGGAAAAGCAATACCCATGTCTCACTTTCCGTGACTTTTGTGGCAGGCCAGACAAAATCAGATAAATCTGGTGGAATTCCATGCCTTACACCTGGCAATACAAACAACAATAGTTTTAAAGACTTTATATAATTTACTTCTTCTGAAGACAGTGATCAATTAAAATACATGAAATTAATGTAGATTTTCTAACACTTTTAATTAACTTTATGATAGGATACATGGATAACTTTGCTCCTATGTTCAAACACTAATTGTTATTATTACTTTTTTAATAATAAAATTCTAACTGTTACAAAGTGCACAATGCAATGGTATAAAATGAGAAGTTTTCTTATTTAAAAACAAATGGAATTTTCAAGACAACAAATGACACATAATTACAAATCATGGAGATTATATACACCACAAGTTAGGTGTCTTTACACATTTTAAGTTTTTTTTTTTAACTTCAACACCATACAGTTTATCTGTTATTGCAAGGTCTGGCACTGACCTGAAAGAGTAAAAAAGAAAGACAATTAAATAATGTCACAAAACAATGAAGAATCCGGACTTGAGATGAATAACTCTATTTCTCTACACTTGGAACGTTTGCTTGGAGTGATGTTAACAGAAATAACTTCATAAAATTACTTGATTGTCTGACTGAAAAAATACACAATGAAACCTTTTTATCATTCAAGTAGAACAAACATCCACATGGAAGTAATCTTTTAACATTTGATGAAATTTTATTTTGCTCTTATCTTGTTCAGAGAAAAATTTGCTTCTGCTATAGAATAAAAGAAAATTTCCAATAGCATCTTTCGCTTATTTCAATTTCAAGATTGCTATCAAGATTTCGACGATTCAGTGATAGTGTAAATACTTTGAAATAATTTAAAATCATTTATTTAAGTATTTGGCTTATAGGACTTTAATGTCTCTGGTCCTTGAAAAGTTTTCCATAATGAGAATAATCAGGGTTTCAGACTATCAAAGCTTTACAATTGTAAAATAATAATTGTTGAATGTAAATATATCATCATTTCAAAATTTATGTTGAGAGAATCTACAATTCATCCAATCTCAATCGCTTTCTTTAATGCAGCAAAGTTCACATCAGTAATTGTTGAATAGAGACAACTAAATTTTTCCCAATTTAAAACATTTCCATTATCACTGAATTAATTCTTAATAAAATGCTCCGCAGGGCGCAGCTTGATACGACCGCAGAGGTCGAACCCTGAACAGTTGGGGCAAGTATGGACACAACATTCAAGCTTGATACAGCTTTGCATTTGGATTGTGATTAAATATTTGACACAGCATAGGTTTCTGACAAAGAATGAATGTGGTCTAAGAACTTAAAAATTTTAAAATTGGACATTCACCTATTATGGTCCAATATCCAAAATCTAAATACATGGTTAGATTCAGCATATCAAAGAACCCCAAGAATTCAATTTTTGTTAAAATCAAACTAAGTTTAATTTTGGACCCTTTGGACCTTAATGTAGACCAATTTGAAAACTGGACCAAAAATTAAAGATCTAAATACACGGTTAGATTTGGCATAACAAATAAATAAATGTGGTCAAAGATTTTAAAAATCTAATGTGCCATACTGTGCAATTAAAGATAACTTCTTGAAATTTTTCAATATTTGAAATTTGAAAAAAAAAAATATTTGAAGAATAATTCTTTTTAATTTCTGAAATCTGAAATGAGAAAAAATTGACCCCCCACAATTTCTTTTTACCCCCCCCCCCCCTTTTCCCCAAAAAAATTCTTTCCCTCAAGATATGGTCATAATCTCATTCAAATTTCCAATGGAGTTTGCAACCATAATTACCCATTTAAATTTACCATAGTGCTAACTTAATCTATTTTATAATAGAATTTAAAATATAGTGTCAAATCTTTCATATGGATTTTTTTGTAAAAAAAAAGATGCAACATTTGCAGATATTTTTACTGGTCTTCCTTTATAAATATGCATTTCTTTAAACATAATTTAAAAGCAGTATAAGGGAAGTAACCAAAACGTTGTATTTGGATTACCTCCCTTACACTGTTTTAAATTATCTTAATTGTTCATTAACCATTACTTTATTCATAATTTAAAAGCAGTGTAAGGGAGATAATTTCAATGATGTATTTGATTTATCTCCCTTACACTGCTTTAAATTATGTTTTGTACTAAAGTATTTGTCCATTAACCAGGACAACCTTGTTTTCCCCCTTTTTTGCCCCTAATTCCTAAACGGTTTGAGCCATAACCCCCCAAAGCAAATCCCCACCTTCCTTTTGTGGTATTGAACCTTATGGTAAAATTTCAGAGAGATCCATTCACTTAAACTAAAGTTAGAGTGCGAAAACCAATGTGTCTTCGGATGACGACGCCGCCAGTCATACCAATATACGAACGCAAAATTTTTTTTGCGGTCGTATTATAAATTATCTGTTTTAAATACAGCTAATGTCTGCATATCTTCATCTGATGCCTTTTTGAAACAGGAAATATAGTTGTGAGCATGAAAAGGTTGTAAAAATGAAATTTTTAATCAAGTGCCAGGTATCTTTAAAATACCAACTATTTTTTAGCAGCAAGACATTTCAATCACACTTCTTTTGATATGTAATTTGTTCCTTATATATAAGAGGTTTCACTGTAAAATGTTAATTTCTCCTACCTAAATGTCAGAGAAGCAAGTCATAACCTTAACAATGTGCAAACTTACAAAAATTTATGTATTATGGTGGGATAATTATTTCACTTATTTAATATCTAAGAACATAACTAATCTATAAAATGTATATATTATTTTTGTCAAACTTCATTTGTCTCATCACAACAGACTTTTTCCCAATTAAACAGAATGAACAGGAACTGGAAGTTAACTTTAATGCGATAGAGTTTCTGAAGTGTAAACAGCCAAGTTTTATTCAGTCAAGTCCACACATCTAAATTAACACAACCTTTACCCATCACTCTGTACATTTATTGAGGTGTTGCTGTTAAGCTTATACATAAAGCAAGCTTTCCACCTCATGCACTGCTCTTGCTCTGTCCTCTGCAACAGGCATATACTCCTTTAGTAGAGCACCTAAATAATAGTAATTCATTTTTATATTTTCTGCCATCAACAGTCCTTTCACAAGCTGCCAAGACGAATATATTCTTTTGCTTGTATGTTACAATATTTCTCCATTCACAACTTAGCATTTGAGATTTTTTTTCTTCAAAAATACAAGTTGTGCGAAAAATCCCAAATGTAAACTTATTATAGTGGTGAAATAATAAATTATATGGAAAAGTAAAAGATTCTGTTACTCCCTTTTTCAGTCTTGTGCATTGCTAAATAAAATTTAAATGTTCCATGAATGAAACAATAGCATACGAGATTTGAAATAAATTCCATTAAAATCAAATTTCAGACCAAAGCACTTAGAACTGCGAGAAACATTTTCCACTATATTCCAGTGTTCCAGCTACATGTAGGTCGTTTTCACAGGGCGGTCTGCCCGCCCTTTCCCCGAGTGCCGCCCTGTGCCCTTTTTACAGTTTGCAGTGCGCCCTGCCTTTTTTGAAGATCGATTGGTATATTATTTTGTTCGTATTGATATGATCAGCCAATTACAAAAATTTACCTGGCGACAAGTATATGACTGTTTACGACCCCAAGCTAATCAACGGTTACAACAGATGTCATAATCTGTTGTTATAGGTAATCCGTTTATCGGATGGGTCATTTAATGATCATCAACATTAATTCATTCAAATAGAATCGGTCAGTCGGCATTTGTCTTTGAACTTGAAGAAATGTTCATACAACTTCGGCAAAATTATCAAGGTTTACCGTAGTTTCATGTAGAAAACGTAATATTGACAGAAAGTCGAAAACCATAATCAACTCGTTAAAAACATTGCCCTTATTGTTTTCCGTGAAATAAATAGCAAATTAAGACGTATTTTTCATTGACTGCCTTCATTTTTTAAACGAAAATAACAAAATCGGCCGCCATATTGTTGATCGTATTTACATCTTCTACGTACTGTTTATTATCCTCCAAAGAAGGAGCACACCCAAATAAAGAAAGATAACTCAATCTTATTTTTCCCTAGCATTGACTAACCTACTAAGATATTATAAAATATGCCTTCATACTTCTGGCTTTAGAATTTATATGTTTAGGTGTTTTGAGTTATGGGAAAAGTTAAAGAGGGTCTTAGTAGCAGGGTTGGTAGGGTGCCTTGGTCATCTTTTTCTGTATTTTTTATTTTCAATCCAAATTTTTACTGTTCACTATATCCTAACATTGTGCATTTACAGCTGTTTTGTGCTGTATTGCCATTAAGCACAGAAAAGGTAGAAAGGTGAAACTTGTAAAGTGTGTCAGGCCATAGAAACAGAATGAAGTAGGACATTTTTCAATAAACTGCTTCGCTGAGCGCAGCTAGATACGCCCGCAGAGGTCCAACCCTGAACAGTTGGGGCAAAAATGGCCACAATATTCAAGCTTGATTCAGGTCTGAATTTGGATTGTAATTAAATATTTGACATATTATAGGTTTCTGAATAAATGTAGTCAAAAAACTTGAAATTGGTCATATGAATTGAATTTATATTCAATTAAAGATTTCTTGCTGTTGTGCAATACTAAGTATATCTGTTGTCAGACTATAAACAAATAAAGTTCAATTAATTCTCAGTCATATAAGAAATGTATGAAAATAAAAAGGGAGCTTACATCAATAGATATAAACAATTCACCAAAGTTTCATGAGAATTGGTGACAGCATTTTTGAGTTATTGTCCGAAAACTGGAAAATCACCCCTTTTTTTAATGAATAAAACCCCATAACTCGGTAATGTAAAATGTAAAATTTATAAAATTCTAAAGGGAGCTTACATCAATACATACAAACAATTCACCAAAGTTTCATAAGAATTGCTGTAAGCATTTTTGAGTTTTTGTCAGAAAACTGGAAAATCCCCCCTTTTTTTATGAATAAAACCCTGTAACTCGGAAACGTAAAATCTAAAATTTATAAAAATCGAAAGGGAGCTCATGTCAATAGATATAAACAATTCACCACAATTTCTTGCAAGTTGGTGAAAGCATTCTTGACTTATTGTCCGAAAACTGGAAAATCCCCCTTTTTTTAATGAATAAAACCCCATATATCGAAAAGGTAAAATCTGAATTTTATAAAAAACGAAAGGGAGCTCACGTCAATAAATATGAACAATTCACCAAAGTTTTATGCAAATTGGTGAAAGCATTTTTCAGTTAATGTCCGACATGTTGATGACGGACAGACCGACGGACAACGGTATACCATAATACGTCCCGTAAACGGGCGTATAAAAAATACTGCATATAAAGCTTAACTGTGCCAAGCAATGATTTAAAACTTGTGTCACAAGCTGCTTGATAAGTTTTCAGCCTAAAAAGTAGAAAGATAGTTTTTCTCTGGGCTAATGATGTTGTTCTTGTATATTTATAACCAGTTATTCAATGAACAAACAATGTTTGATAATAATCTTTATTAAAACATGCCCTTTTCATATTATCATATCGCACGTTAAATGCCCTTTTTCAGGATTGGCACCCTGCCCTTTTGAAATCCTAGCTGGAACACTGTATTCTCTTAACTCATCTTATCAAATGCATTAAAATAATTAACACATTAAAACTGGGAGATAGAACTAATAAGCCCAAACATTTATGTATATCAAGAAAATATGGTTTAATTTTTTTTTTCCATAAAAGTTTAAAAACATTTCTTTAAATTTTTCCTGATGCATTTTTAAATTCTAACAAATACTTCAAAATTGAATAATATGCGACGCATTTGCTTTGAACATTTCTGAAAATATCTGGACAGGAACAAAGGAAACTTATAATGGTAATTCAGGAATTAAAACTATTTGGCTTAGCGTTATTTTTTGAACAATAAACTCATTTTTTACCTGTCTTCCATCAATTTCGTGCTGATGTTCTGCATTTAATACATTGTCTACACATCTGGGATCTCTGAATGTCACAAATCCAAAACCTCTTGATTTTCCGGTTTGTCTGTCCATGATTACAACAGCATCTGACAGCTGACCAAACTTAGTGAAGTAGTTCCATAAACTGTCTGCATAATACATAAAATAATATGCTATCTTATAATATTTATCATAACCTGTTAATAAGTACACATGTCTAATCAACTTTTAAAGTAAGAAAGAACAAGAAATGAATGTAACAGGATGCTGTTACGAAGTCTCCCAAACGAAGCTCCCATAATTCGTAATTCCCAGGGTCGCCTGACATTGGGCAACTTCCAGTGAAAATTGGTTTTGTCCAGTAAAGTTATATGCATTAGTGATGCCTGGGGACTAACCTTGTATATCATTCAAATCATCTTGGCATGACAAACCAGAATATATATGGTTTAGGGGTAGGGTTCTCGACCATTTACAAGATACTAGAACATTGGGGGTGGGGAGGAACCCCTGGGGACTGGCCCTATACGTCATTCAAATGTTCATAACATGACGAACAGGAATATATATGGTTTAGGGGTGGGGATCTCAACCATTTACAAGATATTAGAACATTGGGGGTGGGGGGGACCCCTGGGGACTGACCGTATACGTCATTCAAATGTTTGAGACATGACAAATAGGAATATATATGGTTTAGGGGTGGGGATCTCAACCATTTACAAGATATTAGAACTTTCTCAAATGGCAGGGGGTGGGGGTGACCCCTGGGGACTAACCCTGTATTTCATTCGATGTGCTTTATCATGACAAACCAGAATATATATGGTTTAGGGGTGGGGATCTCGACCATTTACAAGATATTAGAACTTTCTCAAATGGCAGGGGGTAGGGATGACCCCTGGGGACTAACCCTGTATATCATTCAAACCATCTTAGCATGACAAACCAGAATATATATGGTTTAGGGGTGGGGATCTTGACCACTTACAAGATATTAGAACTTTCTTAATGGCAGGGGGTGAGGGTGACCCCTGGGGACTAACCCTGTATTTCATATGATGTGCTTTATCATGACAAACCAGAATATATATGGTTTAGGGGTGGGGATCTCGACCATTTACAAGATATTAGAACTTTCTCAAATGGCAGGGGTGACCCCTGGGGACTAACCCTGTATATCATTCAAACCATCTTAGCATAACAAACCAAAATATATATGGTTTAGGGGTGGGGATCTTGACCACTTACAAGGTATTAGAACTTTCTTAAATGGCAGGGGTAGGGGGTGACCCCTGGGGACTAACCCTGTATTTCATTTAATGGGCTTTATCATTAAGAACATTTTCAATTAAAAAGATTGTGTCTATCACAAACGGTTTTCAATTTATAATCATTTGAAAATTTAAAAAAATAAAATCCCATAGGGTTCTATAGTAAAACCCTCTTTTCTTTTTGCCCCTCAAAGTACCCCTTTATAAACCCCATTGCACAAACAAAACCCTGATTGCACCACTAGACATGTTAGTCTAACATATTGTGAAACCCTAAGTTAATCTGACAAGCGGTTTTGGAGAACGGGTGCGGACAAGTTCAAATTTAAAAGCGGCGGAAGAAGAAGAAGAAGAATAATAATAATAAGAACTGAGCAAAAACAATAAGTCTTCCCAAACTTCATTTGGGCATGGAAGTAATATTTAAAAGGAATAACAACGACTAATTAGCATGTATTAACAGCCTGCAGAGCTCTGTACTAAAGTCATATGATTTTATCCAATTATAGTCTCAGCGGCAAGACCCCTTTGGTTACTATCTGTGATACCGCGGTTGTAAAATGGCATCTGGAATTTCTTATCAGTCACGTGATTTTATCGAGTCCGGTAATTATAAAGCACCTGTGTGAAATCCGAGGTTAATTAATAAGCAGGTGGCGCTGTATCATATAAAACCTCTACCTTCAGAAAGAAGTCGTATGATGTAAAAAACTTGAAAAACGGACGAGAATTGTTCAACCTACAACAGTTTAGCATGGAAAATTGTATTTAATTTAGCATATTTTTGCTTTTTACCGTTTGTTTTAAACTGTTCTAAAAGTATTTTCCGGTTAAAAGCGGATCCCGAGTAAAACAGTTAAATACCGATGAATCGATCAGGTTTCACATGATGTTGAACAAAATAATGTAGACAGATGTAGACATAGAATATTTTACTGTTGAAATGTGCCAAGTTTATCGAGATTTATAAAAATATTTACTTTCAAGTAATTGATTACGTTATTGAAACTGGACAATTAAAATCGGGATCATAAGTTCGTAAACATGTTAAATTTATATCTATTTCAAAAAAGTGTTTACAATTGAATACTGATATTAATGTAGCACGTTACAGCAAAAAGAAAATCAACCATACAAAACGAGCTTGACGCTATCTGTATAACCGCAAATTTATTTTATATGAATTTGTTTATGTACAAATTAAAGAATAGAAACGTTTAAAATTGTGAATATTTAATTTGCCTGGTATACACGGAAGACTTGGATTATTCGTATTTAATAAAAGGTCGTCGAAACATATTTTTTGTACAATCATCTTCTTAACTTTCAGAAATGGCTTCTTAATTAACTGGTTTTAAGTATTAAAATTGAAAATGATCCACCCTTTTTCTTAAATTCAATATGTGATAACTGTCGGCCTAAACTATTAAGATCGAAAAAGACATAAATAGGAAAAATAGACTAAAATCAACATTGAATGACTGACTCTATTCGGTAGCGTACAGCAGCGGAATGTAACGAGTGAACTATTCGGGTTACTTCGTACGTACATACGACAACAACTGGTCTATTCGTAATTTTCCGGGAACACGAAAATGACCGAAAAGTGTCAGTGATTTGATCTATCACATGCCGAGAGTCAATTACCATGCCATATATTAAACCAATTAACGAGTTATCGAAAGATGGGCGGTAACGCAGATGAAGCCTTTGAAGTGACGACGTCGTTATTCCTTTCAATATTACTTCCATGGTTTGGGAGACTTAATAAAAGAACCAAATTCCTATATCCTCATGATCATGTTGAACACATTTTAACTGATTAGATTAGAACTGAGGAAGATTTTGATTTTTGAAAAATGTGTAGGGACCTTTGGAAGGTTGAAACAGAGGAAGATATCAACAAAATAATGTGTACATGACATTTTAAAATTTGTAAATAACTTGTGCAGACTGGATTATTTTTATTATTGTTTATAAGGTCTTTCATTGATTCCTCTCATCTGTAATAAATACTTAAAAGTTCCATGACTTACCTATAATAAAACAATTAGATTGGTATATGGCTATATACATATAAACTATGTAGTGTAACTAATTCTGAAAAAGAATCATCGCGCGCCGTGTTGCAAATCCACCATGGACCCACCATGCATGAAAAATTTTCTAGGGAAGACACTGTAACCATGTACTGGTTTAAATGGTGGATGCTGATTGCGTAAAACAAGTAATCTTAATTTTCACAAGCATTTTCTAATAAACTGCTCCGCAGGGCGCAGCTTGATACGACTGCAGAGGTCGAACCCTGAACAGTTGGGGCAAGTATGGACACAACATTCAAGCTTGATACAGCTCTGAATTTGGATTGTGATTAAATATTTGACACAGCATAGGTTTCTGACACAGAATGAATGTGGTCTAAGAACTTAAAAATTTTAAATTGGACATTCACCTATTATGGTCCAATATCCAAAATCTAAATACATGGTTAGATTAAGCATATCAAAGAACCCCAAGAATTCAATTTTAGATGAAATCAAACAAAGTTTAATTTTGGACCCTTTTGACCTCAATGTGGACAAAGTTGATAATGGGGCCCAAAAATCAAAAAATAAATACATGGTTAGATTCAGCATATCAAAGAACCCCATATATTCAATTTTTGTTGAAATCAAACAAAGTTTAATTTTGGACCCCGATTTGGACCAACTTGAAAACTGGGCCTATAATCAAAAATCTAAATACATGTTTAGATTCAGCATATCAAAGAACCCTAAGAATTCAATTTTTGTTAAAATCAAACTAAGTTTAATATTGGACCCTTTGGACCTTAATGTAGACCAATTTGAAAACAGAACCAAAAATTAAGAATCTAAATACACCGTTAGATTCGGCATATCAAAGAACCCCAATAATTCAATTTTTGATGAAATCAAACAAAGTTTAATTTTGGACCCTTTGGACCTCAATGTGGACCAATTTAAAAATGGGGCCCAAAATCCAAAAACTTAATACACGGTTAGAATCAGCATATTAAAGAACCCCAAGAATTCAAGAATAAAACCCATTGAAATTGGTCAAGAAATAAGCAATTTATACGAAGTATCTTCTTTTGCACAATACTGTGCAATTGAATATTTCTTGCTATTGCACAATACTGTACAATTGACAATTTCTTGCTATTGCGCAATATTGTGCTATTGCACAATACTGTGCAATTGAAGATTTCTTGCTATTGCACAATACTGTGCAATTGAAGATTTCTTACTATTGTGCAATACTGTGCAATTGAAGATTTCTTGCTATTGCACAATACTTATTATATAATAATTTACACATCCTGTTTGGTGTGTATCTCCTACCATATCATTATTATTTGCTTTTAAATATAAAACAACAATAACCAACTTAAAATGGAAAATTTAAAAAGAAAAAAAGAAAAATCCCCCCCCAAATTTTTTGAACGCCCTTATGATTCATCACCCCCAAACTCAATCCCAGCCTTCCCTTTGTGGTATGGTAACTTGCAGTACAATTTCAGAGAGATCCATACACTTGAACACAAGTTATTGTCTGGAAACTAGAAAAATGCTTATTTTTGGCCCCTTATTCCTAAACATTTTGCCCCTTTTTTGCCCCTAATTCCTAAAATGTGGAGGCAATTACCCCCAAAAACAATTCCAGCTTTCCCTTTGTGATATGGAACCTTGTAGTACAATTTCAGAAAGATCCATACACTTACACACAAGTTATTATCATGATACTAGAAAAATGCTTGTTTTTTGCCCCTTTTCTGGCCCCTTATTCCTAATATTTTGAGGCAATTACCCCCAAAATCAATCCCAGCATTCCCTGTGTGAAATGGAACCGTGTGG